CTGCTAGGAGAAGAAATGTAAGATGCCAAGATTAGTACTTGTCAGCATGCAATGGTGTTTTTAAATAACATGTAACACTGAGATATTATCTTGTCCATAGCCAAGGGCTTCCTCCATGCAGCTCTTTATCAGGGTTCATAAGGAGGGATTTTCAAGGGGAAAGAGAAAGAGCCAGAACAAGGACATAGGCAGAATTAATATGGAGGCTGAAAAGGGAACTGATGGCCAGATGGCTCTGCAATGAAGGGAAACCGGAGTCTAAGGGTACTAGAGAAATATAATAAAGCATCTGGTAATACTGCAGGCATTCAGCATGTTCACAAATGAATAGATGTAATGCAGTCTCCAAGCTAAGCTATCCTGTAGTTCGGCTTCCTTTAGCAGGGGATTTCATACCCCTGAGGAAACTGACAGTGCTGTGTCCCTGCCCACACTCTGGAACCACCACCCATCTGCCCAGGGCCCAAGACCCCATTTCAGCTCCCCAGAGCTGTCAGTCTCTGTCCCAGCAACACCACAGTGGTGCTGGTCTCCAGCTCCCCACAGTCCTGCAGGCCCAGCATTGGCCTGTCCCTCTGCCAGGAAGGTGCCTGATGCCCAGGGATGGGGTTGTACCCCAGCTGCTATCCTTCTGGTGGGGGTGGTGGGATGCACTCTTGTAGCTGCCAGGCCCTTCCTGATGTCCCCAGGGAGCCCCTACAGCACCCTGGCAGGGCTATAGAAATCAAAGTCTGGAGTTAATTGCTGCATTTCTGTGTACAGGTTTGAAATATATGGCTAAGTTTCATACCCTGCTTTAAAAATGGTGGGAAACAAAGGAGTAGAGATAACTTTGACAGAAGAACTTGTAGAAGAATTAGCTAATTTAGGTTTAAGTTAGTAATACAGTTTTCAACGCAATTCTGATGTTCTGTGAATGCCTCAATTCTTTACTTTTTTCGTATTCATAGAATCATAGAATAGTTAGGGTTGGAAAGGACCTTAAGATCATCAAGTTCCAACCCCCTTGCCATGGGCAGGGACACCTCGCACTAAACCATACCACCCAAGGCCTCATCCAACCTGACCTTGAACACTGCCAGGGATGGAGCATTCACAACCTCCCTGGCCAGCCCATTCCAGTGCCTCACCACCCTAACAGGAAAGAATTTCCTCCTTATATCCAATCTAAACTTCCCCTGTTTAAGTTTTAACCCATTACCCCTTGTCCTATCACTACAGTCCCTAATGAAGAGTCCCTCCCCAGCATCCCTATGGGCCCCCCTTCAGATACAGGTAGGCTGCTATGAGGTCTCCACACAGACTTCTCTTCCCCAGGCTGAACAGCCCCAACTTTCTCAGCCGATCTTCATATGGAAGGTGCTTCAGTCCCCTGATCATCCTCGTGGCCCTCCTCTGGACTTGTTCCAATAGTTCCATGTCCTTTTTATGTTGAGGACACCAGAACTGCAAACAATACTCCAAGTGAGGTCTCACGAGAGAAGAGCAGAGGGGCAGGATGACCTCCTTCAACCTGCTGGTCACACTCCTTTGGGTGCAGCCCAGGGTACAGTTGGCTTTCTGGGTTTTGAGCACACACTGACGGCTCATGTTCATTTTCTCATTGACCAGTACCCCCAAGTCCTTCTCCATAGGGCTGCTCTGAGTCTCTTCTCTGCCCAGCCTGTACCTGTGCCTGGGATTGCTCTGTCCCAGGTGTAGGACCTTGCACTTGCCATGGTTAAACTGCATGAGGTTGGCATCAGCCCTCCTCACAAGTGTGTCAAGGTCCCTCTGGATGGCATTCCTTCCCTCCAGCATATCAACCGGACCACACAGCTTGGTGTCATCAGCAAACTTGCTGAGGGCGCACTCAATCCCACTGTCCATGTCACCGACAAGGATGTTAAACAAGACCGGTCCCAACACCAATCCCTGAGGGACACCCCTCGTAACTGGTCTCCAGCTGGACATTGAGCCATTGACCACAACTCTTTGTGTGCAGCCATCCAGCCAGTTCTTTATCCACCAAGTGGTCCATCCATCAAATTGATGTCTCTCCAATTTAGAGACAAGGATGTTGTATGGGACAGTGTTGAACGCTTTACACAAATTCAGGTAGATGACATCAACTGCTCTACCCCTGTCCAGCAGTTCTGTAGCCCTATCATCTTTAAGACCTCTTTAAAAAATGTCTTTCTTTCTTTCAAGCTCCATTTTTTTATTAGACCATTATGCAATTCCAAAAGCCATGTTTACATTCCAGTCTGTGTACTTTCATTTCCCTTCTTGGTTTTTAAACCTGTCTAGGATGACTCAGAAAGCTTGTTTTTTTCCATCAAATTTGACTGAGGCCTAATGGATTAGATTGAAGAAGAAGCTCCTGGTGTCTGAACAGAGAAGTATGTTTTTTTGGGACCTGGAGAAAGCATTTGGAGACACTTGAGCAGAGATACCAAAAATCAAGGTAGTTCTGCCTTCAAAAAATAAAAGCTAAGGTACAGTGGTGTATGATGCTTCAGTCTTGCTCAGTTCCTCGCACTCGAGCTTTTGCTTCTAAAAATGGTTTCTCTTGTTCCTCCTCCTCAAATTCTTTGACATTTCTACTGTATTTCTTTTCCTTTCACCCACTTCCCAAGACACTGCTTGAATTCTGCTCTAATATAATATATTTCAATGAGTATCAGGGCAACAGGTTAAATATATGAAAAGAAATTTTGCAAAGACTTGAAGACACTAAAAATTTGCTCTGGCTTTTAATTTCCCCCTGATGAACAAGCCCTAACATTTTAAAATTTGTTGTTAGGAAAATACATATTTTTTTTAAGATAGGTTAAACAAGATTTATCTTCTTTACAAAATCAAACTGTTGTGTGTTAAAATTTCGACTTCTTACTATGCTATTACACAAATTGGAGACTTGAGAAATCAAAGAATGATTTGAAAATTGAAAGATGGAACATTTTGTCTTCTTGCATCTTTTCAGAGCTTTATATTCTGGTTTTCTTTTGAAATTAAATGACAACATTATCCAGTTTTATTAAATGCTCTGATTTCAATTAAGCACCCTATTTTTCAGAATTTCTTCACCAGTTCTACTTCCAGCAGCTTGTGTTGAATAGGCACAAAGAAAACAAATTCCTCAGCAGGAAATAATGTTGTTAAACAAAGACTTGTGCTGAGTAGCCACCACTGAACGTACAACATTAATTTCAATGTGCAGTTTTTGATATTCACAATAACTGTGATGCAGTAAAGTTCCTGCAAGAATAATTGCCCTGTAACTCCCTATAATGAATTTCAAATAAAATAGAAAACTTTGAGAAGATAACAGGCATGCAGGACAAGCACTGACAAACCGGTAAACATGATTTTTTCCTATCAGTTATGCTCTATATGTAGTAAACATTTCTTACTTTGTCCAGAAAAAGACAAAGATACATTGTAATAGCAATGCACTGTCTATAGGATTTTGAATAAAATGAGTTTTGCAGTCCTGGCACTGGCTGGTGTGTCAGGTTTTATGCTGAAAGGTCCTTGGATTTCAGTGACAATTTAGTTAAACTAGTTGTCGATGTGGAAAACACATTAGATGCAATATTTGATATTACATCAAGTATAGTTTGAAATAAAATGTTCTCTGGTAGTTTGGGTGGTTTTTAATTTTGCTTACTGCAACTATTAGTGCTTTGGGACATGGTGAGAGATTTATAGATGTTTGAGTTTCACATGAGTTAAGGTGATAAATAACCTTCAGTGCTGTCTGGAAGACTAAATTCTTTAATCCCTTCTTAAAATCCCATTTATACTTTTTGCTTTCAGTGGCAAATTGAAGGGTACAGACTAAGAAACTCACTCAAATAATGCAGTTGAATGAAAAAGAAAAATACTGATAACAATGCCCAACTCTACAGCTGAAAATAATAGAGGCTAAGAACAAAATATAACACATCAACTATTATGGTAGCTATTAAAAATTAGAAAGGTGTATTGGGGTAGTTTGCAGATAGGCATGAATAGGATGTGGTTTTAATCCAGCTCTCTGTCTTGCAAATTGAGAGAAGCATTTACCTTTAATATAAACAATTTCCAAGGCCCTGTGTAGAATTATGAATACTGCAAAAAATCTTACAATTATAATGTTTTATATGTGAAAGCATTCAGATTGAAGCCAATAAATAGCTTTGAATAACAGAAGAATTTGAAATGAGAAAATGTTGCTCCCTGCTTTCAGTATTGTTGCAATTTATACAAAGAAGACCTTCCTTTTTTATTTATGAAAGTAAAGCACAGTCCTGGAGTATGCATTTGCTCATAAGCCTTACTGGCTTCAAAATATTTTTCAACAAGCAGTTAAGTGCTTGGAAATACACTTTTCTGCAGGAAAATTAGTAAATTCGCTAATTTTTTGCTGTTAGAAACTGAAGTAATTAGATTCTGCATGGAACTAGGTGGACAGAAAAATTAAATAATTCTATGAATTACTAAGAAACTGACATTTTTTGTCATTCAGAGATTAGCTTGTACTTAAAGAGCTCCCATGATACCTCATGGTATCATGGAGAGTACCCCATTCTTTTCTAATGGCAACATTTCTTCCAGGATTTCTTCCACATTTCACTATGGTCTGCTCTTTGGTACCTGTGGGATACACCCAGAGAAACAGCAAATTGTAGGTTTGTCCCATAGAAGAGACTCAGGTGATAAACAGCATTATACAGATCATAAACAATTTTGTGGAAGTGTAGGAGAGTGTCATATAAATGTTGAAACAAATCAAAGTCAAAACTTTCTAATACTCTTATGTTTCAATACCTTTCCTGACTTTCAGAAGAGCTGTAAAAATTCATTAATAGATTACTTCATAGCAGTTATTCTGAATTTGACCAGTTCTAGTGCTTATGTAAAATATTCCTCCATGGTTTCATATGGACTAACAGTAAGAAACTTGTCGATGATTGTAGTCTTTGTATCTCACAAACTATAGATGGTAATTATGACAAGCTGTACTTGTATGGAACTGTCCTGGGTTTAGCAGCAGCAGTCATTTTTTATCCTTCTTGGTAGCTGGTGCAGTGCTGTGTTTTGACTTTCGGGCTGGGAACAAAGCTGATAAAAATGATGTTTTGGTTTGGCCAAGGACTTGGTGAGCCTCATGCTCTGCCAGGGAGGAGGGGAGGCCGGGAGGAAGCAGAGACAGGACACCTGACCCAAACTGACCAAAGAGGTATTCCATACCACAGCACGTCATGCCCAGGGGGGAACTGGGAGGTACCCGGAAGGAGAGGGGGTCAGCCGGGTCGGACTGGTGGTTCGGCGCGTGGTATTGTACTCCTTTCCTTTGCTATTTTCTCTTATCATTGTTGTCGTTGGTGGTAGCGGTGGTGATTCGTATTGTACATTAGTTGCTAGACTGTTCTTATCTCAGCCCGTGGGAGTTGCATTCCTTCGATTCTCCTCCCCACCCCTCTGGGAGCGGGAAAAGGGGGCGGCAACCCCTGGGGAAGGGGGGGGGGGCGGACTAACGTGGGCCTCGATTGCTTCCAGCCTGGCACCACTCACTGGGAGTAAGTGAACAAGCTGTTTGGTTGGGTTAAACCACGACAGTTCTTTTTGGCGCCCAACGTGGGGCACGAAGGGGTTGAGATAACAACAGATCTGACCGGATTAATAGTCACTCATCACAATGCTGATTTATTGGCTCTCAAAGTTGTTCCTCTTGATCTCACAGCTTCAGAATGTTGTAATTTACTTAGATCTGGTATTTGCTGTATTAGTGTTTTTCAAGTGTGGGGTTTAGGCTAAAGTTCTTGTCTCAGTGTACTTTATGATGATGACTTGTAACACAATAGAATTATTGATCATGAAACTTATCTGGTTTATGTTCCCAGTATGGTCACCACCTTTATACTTTGGGAGGTATATAATAGAAGTGCTTAGCAATTACACATATTCTTTCTCCTTCTCGGGTGGTCAACCTGTGAAGGAGGTATTCTTTTACCCTCCCAGTCCTCCCCCCAGAGCATTTACAGCATCATTTGAGAGTTTTGAATGGCCTTTTAATGCTATTGAGACTTGTTTGCTGATTGTGATGGGGATCACCATGTTGGCACGTATACAGAGTGTATTTTGGCCACAACTATTTCATCTGTTTTCAAAAGTTAAGCAGAGTCAGGTTTGGGTCTTGTCTGGGGTTAAACGACGAAGTAGGAGGACCAAGAGATTTTCTCTGAGGCTGGACAGCCATGAGTGGCAGGGTGTGTGGGACAGTATGGGCAAGTATCTAGGTCAGTGGGCCCTTCCAGTACTTTGGAATTTCACCACCGAACAACTGCAAAATCCAGAAGAATTAGTAAAACACTTAAATGAGGTGTGTGGTCAGTCTGGCCATACCAGAGACGGACAAATCATGGCAACGTGCTGGGGCTTGGCCTATGCTTACAGGGCCATGTTCAATGCTTTCCAGCACCTTCAAAAGGAAAAAAATGTCGCTGGATCTGAGGGCAAAGCAACAGCCAGTACAGATACTCCAGCTCCAAGTACAGCAGCTACACCACCCCCAGCAACAAGTACAGTCGCTACTCAAACCACAGTGATAACCACTGCAACTAAACCAGAGGACCAATTCGTACCAATATCGGTTGCCCCTGTACGCAAGAGAAAAAGCAAAAAGGAGGCAGGAAGGTTAAAGCAAGATGAAGAAACAATGTGTTCACTACTCGATCCAGAACATGATCAGGAGTCATCATCACATGATGAAGAAGAAGAAGGAGAGGTGACTTCTCGACTTCGGACCTCAACCGAGCTACGGAATAAGCGAAAAGATTTTACCCGTCAACCAGGGGAGCACATCATCACCTGGTTGCTCCGATGCTGGGACAATGGGGCCGATGGTCACGAACTAGAAGGTACAGAAGCCAAGCAGTTGGGATCACTTGCTAAAGAAGGGGGAATTGACAAAGCAATTGCAAGAGAGAAAAAGTCCCTCAGTCTTTGGAGGCGGCTCTTGGCAGCTGTCAAAGAAAGGTTTCCATACAAGGACGATGTTATGAGTCGTTCGGCCAAGTGGACTACTATAGACAAAGGTATCCAGTCTCTGAGAGAATCAGCCATTGTAGAGATGATCTATCACATCAAGCCGAATAACGGGAATATACCCATAGATCCAGATGAAGTCGAATGTACACGACCCATGTGGCGAAAACTTACACGGAATGCACCATCATCATACGCCCATTCACTGGCAACAGTAACCTGGAATGACATAGTACCACTAACAGTGGATGAAATGGTTCATAAACTCCGCGAGTTCGAAGACAATCTCACCCCTTCCATCATCTCAGCTGTGGAAAAACTGTCCCAGGATCTCAAACAATTGAGGGACGATATATCTGACTTATCCAACTCCTCGCGTGTACCAACACACATTTCAGCTATTAGCAAAAGGCGTCCCACTGTTCGAGAAAGGAGATACAAGAGGTATACGCCACGGTCTACCCTATGGTTTTACCTGCGGGATCACGGAGAAGACATGACAAAGTGGGATGGAAAACCTACCTCAGTTTTGGAGGAACGGGTGAGTGAATTGAAAAGAGGAGCAAAGGCCAAGACTGAGCGTCCCATGAGAGCTACGGCTTCAGTCTCTGGTGAGCAGTTTCCCAGGTGGAGTGGAAGAGCTGATCTTACTCCAGCTTCTGTGATAAAGAAGAATAATCCCTTTCAACATGACTTAAGCGTCCAATCCTGTGATGACTATTAGAGGGGCCCTGCCTCCAGCCAGGTGGAGGTAGGGGACAATCGGATTTACTGGACTGTGTGGATCAGATGGCCTGGCACATCAGTCCTGCAGAAGTATAAGGCTCTAGTAGATACCGGTGCACAGTGTACCCTGATGCCATCAAGCTGTCAAGGGGTGGAACCCATCTATATTTCTGGAGTGACAGGAGGATCCCAAGAGTTGACTGTACTGGAGGCTGAAATCAGCCTGACTGGGAGAGAATGGCAAAAGCACCGTATTGTGACTGGCCCAGAGGCTCCATGCATCCTTGGCATAGACTACCTCAAGAGAGGGTACTTCAAAGACCCAAAAGGGTACCGATGGGCTTTTGGTATTGCTGCTTTGGAGACTGAAGAAGTTGAGCAGCTGTCCACCTTGCCTGGTCTCAGAGGATCCTTCTGTTGTGGGGCTGATGAAAGTCGAAGAACAACAAGTGCCAATTGCAACCACAACAGTGCACCGGCGGCAATATCGCACCAACCGAGACTCCCTGATTCCTATCCATCAGCTGATCCGTAGACTGGAGAGTCAGGGAGTGATCAGCAGGACCCGCTCGCCCTTTAATAGCCCCATATGGCCAGTGCGAAAGTCTAACGGAGAGTGGAGACTAACAATAGACTATCGTGGCCTGAATGAAGTCACACCACCCTTGAGTGCTGCCGTACCAGACATGCTAGAACTTCAGTATGAACTGGAGTCAAAGGCAGCCAAGTGGTATGCCACGATTGATATTGCCAATGCGTTTTTCTCAATTCCTTTGGCAACAGAGTGCAGGCCACAGTTTGCTTTTACTTGGAGGGGTGTCCAGTTCACATGGAACCGACTGCCCCAGGGCTGGAAACATAGCCCTACCATTTGCCATGGACTGATTCAGACTGCACTGGAACAGGGGCAAGCGCCAGAACACCTGCAATACATTGATGACATTATAGTGTGGGGCGATACAGCAGAAGAAGTCTTCGAGAAAGGGAGGAAAATAATTCAAATCCTGCTGAAAGCCGGTTTTGCCATAAAACGAAGTAAGGTCAAGGGACCTGCACAGGAGATTCAATTTCTGGGAATAAAATGGCAAGATGGACGTAGACAGATCCCCACAGATGTAATCAACAAGATAACAGCAATGGCTCCACCAACTAATAAGAAAGAAACACAAGCTTTCTTGGGTGCAGTGGGGTTCTGGAGACTGCACATCCCAAATTACAGTTTGATTGTAAGCCCTCTCTATTACGTGACCCGTAAGAAGAATGATTTTAAATGGGGACCTGAGCAACAACAAGCCTTTGAACAAATTAAACGCAAGATAGTTCATGCAGTGGCCCTTGGACCAGTTCGGACTGGGCCAGATGTAAAAAATGTATTGTACACCGCAGCTGGGGAGAATGGCCCTACCTGGAGCCTCTGGCAGAAAGCTCCAGGAGAGACTCGAGGTTGACCCCTTGGTTTTTGGAGTCGGGGATACAAAGGATCTGAGGCAAGCTATACCCCAACTGAGAAAGAGATACTGGCAGCCTATGAAGGGGTTCGAGCTGCTTCGGAAGTGATTGGCACCGAAGTACAGCTCCTCCTGGCACCCCGGTTGCCCGTGCTAGGCTGGATGTTCAAAGGCAGGGTCTCCTCTACGTATCATGCAACTGATGCTACGTGGAGTAAATGGGCTGCACTAATTACACAATGAGCTCGAATAGGAAATCCCAGTCTTCCAGGCATTCTAGAAGTCATCATGGACTGGCCAGAGGGCAAAGATTTCGGAATGTCACCAGAGGAGGAGGTGATGCGTGCTGAAGAGGCCCCACCATATAATCAGCTGTCAGAAAGTGAAAAGCAATATGCCTTGTTTACTGATGGGTCCTGCCGTATTGTGGGAAAACATCGGAGATGGAAGGCAGCTGTATGGAATCCTCGACGACAAGTTGCAGAAACTGCTGAAGGAGAGGGTGAATCGAGTCAGTTTGCTGAGGTGAAAGCCACCCAGCTGGCCCTGGGCATTGCTGAACGAGAAAAGTGGCCAGTACTTTATCTCTATACTGACTTATGGATGGTGGCAAATGCCCTGTGGGGGTGGTTGCAGCAATGGAAGCAGATCAACTGGCAATGCAGAGGTAAACCTATCTGGGCTGCTGCACTGTGGAAAGATATTGCTGCCCGGGTGCAAAACCTGGTGGTGAAGGTACGTCATGTAGATGCCCATGTACCCAAGAGTCGGGCCACTGAGGAACACCAGAACAACCAACAAGTGGATAAAGCTGCTAAGATTGAAGTGGCTCAGATGGACTTA